GATCCCACCCTCCCTCCCCTTTCTGCATGCATGCCACTCCCCAAGTCCACTGATAGGGGAGGTTCTCCTCTTCTTTCTGATCTTAGTCTATCAGTTCTCATCAAAAGTGGCTGCATTGTCCTCTACTGTGGCCTGGTAAGGCTGCTCCCCCCTCAGGGAGAAGTGATCAATGAGCAGGCCAATCAGATTATGTCAGAGGCAGTCCCTCTTCCCATTACTATGTAACCCACTTGGACACTGAACTGCCATGGGCTACACCTGTGCAGGGGTTCCAGGTCATCTGCATGCATGCCACTCCCCAAGTCCACTGATAGGGGAGGTTCTCCTCTTCTTTCTGATCTTAGTCTATCAGTTCTCATCAAAAGTGGCTGCATTGTCCTCTACTGTGGCCTGGTAAGGCTGCTCCCCCCTCAGGGGGAAGTGATCAAAGAGCAGGCCAATCAGATTATGTCAGAGGCAGTCCCTCTTCCCATTACTATGGAACCCACTTGGACACTGAACTGCCATGGGCTACACCTGTGCAGGGGTTCCAGGTTATCTCCACGAATAGTCCTTGGTTGGAGTATGAGTCTCTGGGAAGTTCCCTGTATTCAAATTATCTTGTTCTGTTGCTCTCCTTGTGGAGTTCCTGTCCCCTCCAGCTCTTACTATTTCCCACTTCTTACATAAAATTCCATTCGTTCTGCCCATCAGTTGGCCATCAGGCGCAGCATCTGCTTTGACAGTCTATACTGCAGAAGCTTTCAGAGGCCCTCTGTGGCAGGTTTCAAGGTTGTTTGCTGTTTTCTTCTGGCTTTCAGAGGCCCTCTGTAGCAGGTTCCGAGGTTGTTTCCTGTTTTCTTTTTCTTCTGATGTCCATCCTCTTTGCCTTTCAGGATGGGGATTGAACATTTTAGTTAGGGTCCTCTCTTTTGCTTAGTTTGTTTAGATGTACAGATTTTAGTGGGTTTATTCTATGTTGTATGTGTATATGAGTGAGTATATACCATGCGTGCTATTTTTTACATTCGGTGATTTAGATATTTCCCTTTATTATTATT